TAAGCGTCTTAATATTTAGGTAGAGGAGGTAGTTAGAGAGATAGAAGAGGATATACAGCATGAGCTGAGGTGAGGGCAGATAGGAAGAAAGCTGACAAGTATCTCCCAGCTAAGTCAATAAATGAACGAAAGAAAAACCCAACAGATCTAGCTGACAGCTTAAGTTCATCAGTAAGAAGAAAGAGAAGATCGGAATTGTTTGAAGCTGCGTGTCAGATTCATGGAGGAAGCAATGAAAAGAACGGCCGAGTACCAGGAGAAGTGGGCATGTGTAGTACGACTGTGAACAAATGTTCTGATAAGGTTTTGGTTGAGGTTTTTTCTAAAAGTGAAAAGATAACCCGTAGGGTTATACCTAAGATTTACAAAAAGAGTCTACCAGTTTTTGAAAATTCAGATGAAAATATGCTGAGAAGCATCGCAGTTTACTATAGTGGGGGTGTTATGGGGAAACGAAAGTATCGGGCTACATACAGGGATAGTAGTTATCAAAGAAATAGTTCTAAGGCTGTGCGCATTGCAGTTAATTACTGTCCTGTCCCAAGGCTTGTCCCATACAATAGGCTTATGCCTTTCATTAAGTCTATTGACATTGGTCAATTGTATTGTGTCAGGGATACACTGTGTCAAGGACTTGCAGAAGAGGAGAAAGTGGATGGTAGGTATCGGGACATAAAAAAGCTGTTGCTTTACCTTGCTGAATTTGATCTTTGTCAAAGCAGGTATCAACTGATATCGAAGTCAACACATTCTATTTTTCTCTTGGTGGTGATGTTGCTCCATTTGGAAAGGATGATACTGCTTGTGCCTGGCTTGTCAGTTTCCTGAATATTGGCAAAGGAGTCCTCAGCAGTAATGAGAACTATCTTCTGTTCGGGGCCAATTGCAAGGAGGATTGCATTCCAGTGTCACGCTTTCTCAAGAAAGTTGTAAGTGATATCAGTGTGTTAGAGAAGAGTACTTTTTCTTTAGATTGCAATGGCACCTCCATTGATGTTAAATTTAAAATATATGAACTCCAAATGATATGAAAATGTTGTCATTCCTTGCTGGAGAATTATGAAATGCTGCAATGTACTTTTCAACCTTTGCAGACGTTAGCAGTGACACTATGAACAAACTTGCTGGCACATTTGGATTTACTGGGAAGGAAATGTGGCAGCCGTGGAAATATGAGACCAGAATAAATGTTGCTAAGCAGGTTGATACGTTGAAAAAGTCCCTGGCAAAAAAGCAGATGGCTGCATCCACTCGGCGATCTACAATAACATCTTTTATTTCACAGAAGCACAGCCGCCAGGAATTTGAGCCAGTTGTAGGTAAACTGATTGACCGGGCACATGTGGATCCACTGCACTTGAAGAATAATGCTTGTGCACGAGCTCATCAACAACTGTTAAATGAAGTCATTGCAATGTCAAAACTAACTGATGAAGTAAATTATTTTTCACAGGTGCCTGCACAGTCTCCTTTCAACAGGTACATTACAGTTACGCGTAAATGTGGTTTGTCTAGGTTGGCTAAAAAGGTCACTAAATGGTTTGGCAACACTAAGGCTAATGGCAAATCTTTTGATTATCGCTTCACAGGGAAGGATTCTAGGCTGTTTTTGTTACATTTTATGTCATTAATTTCAGCCGTTGAATGCAGTGCTCATGCTAATGGTAGAGAGGCCATGATTCTCCATGTTATTGCTTACATTTGTCTTTGTTTGAGGGACTGTGTGTCTCTGTTCAGTTGCTTAGATATATCAGATGAACAGGTGAGTGAACTGAAAACCCTCTGCACAAAGTACTTTAGAGCAAATGCCATTTTCTTTTATGTAAATCCCACAGTCTGGACCATTGGTCATCTTGTACCTGCCCACACCGAGTACACGAAGGGAAAGTATGGGCTTGGCCTTGGTCTTAACTCTATGGAAGGGAGAGAGGCCAAGCATGTGTTCATATCAAAGTACAGTCAGAACACAATGTTTCATTCCAGTTGGGAACAGATCTTCCTTCACAAATTTGTTTCTCGTGTGGTTAAGAGAGAAAGGCTATAATTGTTCTAATGTAAATTCTCCCACCCTCTCTTATATTCCTAAGCAGGTGATCAATTCAGACCCAGCATTCTGTTATTGTGGGCTTCAAAAGGAAGAGTCAACAGATGAGAAGTGCAGACTGTGTTCTAACAATCTGCAAACCAGAATCGAGTCAAGTGTTAAAAACGGAAAGAACTTGATTTAGATGGTACAGTATGTGTCGAATCACAGTATTAAACAAATTATTTTTCATTTGCAGTTTGTATGGGTAAGTGACATCATTCTGTGAGTGTGAGTCTGTGGATGAGATCTTAAAGTGTGACCTTTCATATACATTGTAGCTATTGAGTAGTACTTTCCTATGGTGCTGTTCATTATGTTGTACAAGGTGGCTCTAACGTTTGAGTCTGTCGTTGAGATCTAAAGTTTTACCATTCACATGAACGCTATAAAGAATAAAGGTTAATCCAAGTAATTGCATTGTGTCAGATATATAGACAACAAAATACAAAACTTTCTGTGGTTATATTTCGGTATGATTCTACACCATCTTCAGACTAAAGTGACATACAAAGTGTGGGTTTTAAATACTAGGTGGTAATTTGCATTAATATACATGTGAAAAACAAAAACAAAGGCGATACTCAAGAGAAAAGTTCTCTGCTGGTTTTTATTCCATTGTTTAGTGGTGGTAGGAGACGCTTGATGTGATATGCTTCTAGTACAACAGGAGATTCCAGTTATCATCACTGTCAAGTATAATGGTGTTAGCTCGGACTGCTTGGAGGAATGTTTTGTATTTTGTTGTCTATATAGCTAACACCATTATACATGTACTTGACAGTGATGATAACTGAAATCTCCTGTTGTACAAAGAAGCATATCACATCAAGCGTCTCCTACCACCACTAAACAATGGAATAAAAACCAGCAGAGAACTTTGCCTTTTCTCCTGAGTATCGCCTTTGTTTTTGTTTTTCACGTGTATATTAATGCAAATTACCACCTAGTATTTAAAACCCATACTTTGTATGTCACTTTAGTCTGAAGATGGTGTAGAATCATACTGAAATATAACCACAGAAAGTTTTGTATTTTGTTGTCCATATAGCTGACACAATGCAATTAGTCAGATTAACCTTTATTCTTTATGTCCTGAAATTATCAGAGGGAAATGGGTTCATGAAAGCTACTGAGCAGTACTTTCCTGTGGTGCTGTTCATTATGTTCATATACCTTCCCTTTTCGCCTTAATTACAGCAATGTGCACGGCCTTTTAATTAGCTGATATTGGGTTGTCATGGCAACAGCATATTGAATGTACATGTTGTGGCTCAATTTATTGTTTTCCTTTGTTTCTGTGTATGGTTATTAGTAAAGGCGGCTGGTATATCAGAGGATAATGGCCGCGGCTGAGAGATTGTCCAAAAAATTAACAGTTGGCCGAGAAGCAAAGCTTCAAAGGCAATTTTGAGGAAAATCTTTCTGCCAAGGGCATTTTCTTCCAATATACGAGCAAGCCAGAAAGGGGTTTATTTATTTTATAACTCTCTGATTAATTTCTATAGTGCGCTTTATCTTGGCAAAACAAAGAGAGCCAGTGGTAATCAGCGCATAATTGCGGGTGATCCAAACAAATGTAAGACAGTTTATTTACTCAATTTTGTCAACGCTGTTACTCAATTTAAAAGTTAGACTTGAAATGTCACTTTGTTTCTTTGTTTTGCTCTCACCGGCTCCTCAATAAAATTGGGTGACCAATATCGAATCGGACGGGGGATATCATCTGATACCCATCATCCAATTTTATACCACATGATGTATTTTGTCCAATGAGAGCGTGCACAAATTAATCGGTGGGTTATAACACAACATATATACATGTAAGCCTTTGGACATTTTTTGACTAAGAAAGGTTAGACATTTTAGCTTAGTATTTATTGAAACAACAGCATAGTGAATGTGTACTATTAAGCTGTCGGACATTAACTTTTGACCAAGAAAGGTCAGACATTTTTAGCTTAGTATTTATTGAAACAACAGCATAGTGAATGTATAATTTAAGCTGTTGGACATTAACTTTTGACCAAGAAAGGTCAGACATTTTTAACTTAATATTTATTGAAACAACAGCAGAGTGAATGTATAATTTAAGCTGTTGGACATTAACGTTTGACCAAGAAAGGTCAGACATTTTTAGCTTTAGTATTTATTGAAACAACAGCATAGTGAATGTATAATTTAAGCTGTTGGGCATTAACTTTTGACCAAGAAAGGTTAGACATTTTAGCTTAGTATTTATTGAAACAACAGCAGAGTGAATGTATACTATTAAGCTGTTGGACATTAACTTTTGATCAAGAAAGGTCAGACATTTTTAACTTTAGTATTTATTGAAACAACAGCATAGTGAATGTAAAGCTTTTTGACCAAGAAAGGTTAGACATTTTAGCTTAGTATTTAATTATGAAACAACAGGACTTTTTGTATTTATAAGGATACACTAATTTTTATTAACCTACATTGTAGTCAATGATGTGAAAGAAATTCATGCGTATTTCCTGTGGTTGCCGAGTACAATAATATGTATGTTGTATTACCATAATAAGTAGAAGGCAAGTAGAAATATCTACAGAGGGTGGTAGGTACCTGTTTCGGTAGCTTCCCCTGCCACAGACTACCCACCCACTCCACTTGCTCTCCACTTTGTTAAACTCGGAAATAGGGGACTTTAAATTGTCATTTAAAAAAAATATTGACATCAGGTTGTTTGAGCTTGTTTGCTCTTGTAGGTAAAACAGGTAATACAATAAAGAACTTTTGTTTCATTCTCTGTTGTCTCACTTTATGATTACCATAAAATTACCCTTAACATGGGAAAGTGGAAAATAATAGCAGAAGTGATATGAGTGAATTTTGTGATCCTCGCAGTGATGCTATCAACTTAAGCAGTTGAAGAAGTAACCTAAAAAAAATCAGGCTTGACATGGGATTCGAACCCAGGACATTGTGATACCAGTGCAATGCTCTATCCTCTGAGGTACCAAGCCACAAGGATAGATACATCTGGCTTGATAGCTCACATGATAGTAGAGCATTGCACCAGTATCACAAGGTCCCGGGTTCGAATCCCATGTCAAGCCTGATTTTTGTTAGGTTTCTTTGCAGTCTAGAGCCCAGAGCCTCAGACTCGAGATTGGTTTCTTTGTTGATAGCACAATCTTGAGCCCAGTATCATCAAGCTCTCTGTCAGCGGTTGTCGCCTGGAGAGACTGCCTGGGATAATGGAATTTCTTATCCCAAAAATCTGGGATTCGAAATGCCTTCCGCCCTAACGGCTGTTAGACGAACAGCCAATCAAAAAATTCCCCCCAAAAATCCCATTATTGCAGTCTCTCCAGGCAACAACCGCTGACAAAGAGCCTGATGACTCTGGGCCCAAAAATCTGGAATTCGAATCGACTTCCGCCCTAATGACTGTTAGACAAACAGCCAATCAAAAAATTCCCAAAAAAATTCCATTATCGCAGTCTCCAGGCGACCAACCGCTGACAATGGGCTCGACATTGTTGATAGCATCACTGCGAGGATCACAAAATTCATTTAATCTAATAATGCTGAGGAAACCCATGCGTGTTCCACTCTCCAAAGTGGAATGAAATGGCCAGTTGGCCTTTGTTTAATTTATAAACAAAGGCCATGTTCTTCTCTTGGGTAGCCATGACTGACACCTTGCTACCTGCTTTCCTTCCTGTCAAGGTCCTCTTGAAATATTGTACAATGTCCCTCTCACTTATTCCGGAAGGCACAGAAAACAGCTGTTTCACAGGTCTTAATGTTGTGAAAGACACGACTTCGGTCTTTCTATTGGCGACTATGGATACGAAGGGTTCGCCAAACCCCTCTATGCTCTTGATGACTCTGCAGAACACACTGAAGAACTCGTGGGGAATATCGCGGGTGATTTCCGCTTGAAATGGGGTGCGTATGCGTCGTCTTCCGGCGAGGCGTCTCTATATTGCCTCCAGCCACAGCCTGGAGTCGAATCGCAGTACGGTACGGCGAAAATACGCGAGTTCAGGAGGTGTGCAGCTTGTGGAGTCCCTGCTACTCCTCGGCGACTAATATCCAACAGCGGAACCAACATCGATACTCCGGAGTTTACAAAAAACTCCACGTCTATGTTGGAAGTTGCAACTTCCTCCAAACAGGTTTTAATCTTATTGACTAATGTAGTCTCCTCGTTTTCCTCTTCAATAATAATTTGCTCATCTTGTGCTACCATCTCGCGCACTTGATCGACAGAAAGGAAAGCCGCCATTTTGAAATTTGGCGGTAATGGCGCGCGAAACCACTGAACAAAATGAATGGCGAACGTGAGCGATTGAGTGAATCTGTGCCCACCATGTGTAGGCTTCTTAGTACAAATATTACCTACTGTTCATAAGTATGTGTAACAGAGGTAATGAATGTTTTGTGTTTATATACTTAATAAAACTATAGTAGAAAAATCCATCAGAGAACTTGAATTTAAAATAATATGTGCTATTACACAAGCCTCAGATGAAGCCTGCTTTTCTACACGGAAACTATATCTACACAATAACAAGCAAAAAGGTTTTGCAGCCAAAATACTTAAGCTTATTCAATCAAATACCTTACATTTTATTTATTTTCGGTTCAAAGCTGTTTAATCGATCGATCGATCGATCGAATTGTACACCTTCTATGCCAAATTACAAAAGTTTAATGGAATCAAAAGATCAGTTAAACAATAATTTTTGTTATAAATCAAACAACATTTAGAAATAACATTTAAGCTTACCGTACTTCGATGTCTTTCCTTGAAAATCCATTTGAATTCGCAAAATGCCTTGAGAAATTATCGAAGGGGTCCAAATGCCAAAGATCAGTTGAACGCTTCCTCTTTTTCGGCTGTCAAGAAATGTAGTTTGCCTAAAATATTCCCTGCTGGAACCGTCCTGTTCCAGGTGCTTCAATGAAGTTGTATAAACCCCTTGATTCATCTCCAAATAATTTGTCCATGTACTTCGATAAAGAAACATGATGTAAATTCGTGAAAGAAGCATTTCTCAAACCGAGGAATGAAGGAATTGCGGAATTTATGCGTTTGTTGGCATCGGAACTCCTAAAAGGTCTTTCTTTTAAATGTGTAAGACGTGACAAGTCAGAAAAATTTGGAGAAATCGGAAACAATCCGCCATTTTGTTTTCCTGTGCGATTGGGCTACTACCCCAACCCACCCGACCCCCAATAACTACCAAATATTGCACCCGCAATGTTGTTTAGTGTTGTGATTTCCCAGGCATTATACGCTGGTCAGCGGAATTACCAAGAAAAGCTTACACCATTCATCTTCTATAAACCATAAACTAACAAATTTTTCCATTCTACGATACCTCAGCATGAGATTCTCCATGCTGAGCTAAAAAGGAAACAATGGAAAGCTTGGTTAAAGCGGAAGGGGAAGACTGGAACACAAGAGGAAACTCGTAGCGCAAACATGGAGATTTATGTGGGAAAAGCAACAAGCTCCAAGAACCGTGAGCCTCTTTCGAGAGGAAAAAAGCTGGTGAAGCTCTCTAGAAAAGGAATGAGTCCACAGCAAAGAAAGCCTATACTTCCCGTATCACCAAAAATCCCAAAGCGATCCATCAAAATCGTCAACAAAGTGAGGCCGGTGTTGGAAAAAAGCAAGTTACACCCGAAGATATTTAACCGATTTCTTTGATTTTTGGTATCCTAAACTAAATATGTTTGAATTTTAAGAAAATGTTATTTATTTTTTGGTGGGAGTAAAAAAGTTGGAAATATCAGCATAATTATAAAAATTGCATTTTTCCAAAAAATGCCCATAATTTTGAAATCCGATGACAGATTTTTTTTCCTTACTTCATCAAATAAGCCTCAGAGCTCTCAAGTTTTGTATCTGAAAGTTTCATGACAATCATGACCATGCAACTCTCTGCACAAAAAGCTGGTTAAATTTATCCTTAAAATGCTATGCTAATGCATTTGTGTTAGCTGACGCACAAATAGCGGAAGATTCCAGCCAGGCTATCTCCCATCTGAAAGGCTGATGCTACCCAAAGCTTCATTGAAAGAAACTGAGTAATCAGAAACCTACGGCAAACACAATCAGTGCTAAAAGAAGCACAATTGTATGCTGCATGCAAGGTGAAATTAAATATTTTATATTCATCCGACTTATCGCACATTTGTCGCTTTATTTGCAAAAAAATGTAAGCATGATAAAATATAGCATCTACGGAAAACCCTTACCAGTTTTCAGCACCGCAGGTTTCCTTTCTGAGGAGAAATAAAGGCGCCAAGTGCTCTGAGTACTTATAATCATCCGCTTTTCAACTGCAGTGAAAACTCTTGTGATTGATAACATATTCAAGGTCTCTGGCTTTGCTGTCACATTCCTCACAAGCAGTTTGCCACTTTAGTCCGGCGGCATAGCTGGAAAATTGTGTCATTTTTGTTACTAAAGTTATATTTTGCAGATCTATAGAAATACGCAAGGTGACTAACTTCTGCTATAGAACCACTCCCAGTTCTCACCGTATTGCCCGTAAACGGCTTTGAAGTTTTTCCTCGCTGAGACCCCCCGCGAAGATATATGGTCCTCTTTCAGTAACTCAGAAATGACGCAAAATTTTGTACGAAAAAAGCAACATGTTCGTATTAGTTAAAACATTTACTTCAAACAATGATAAATTTTGTTGCGTTAATGAGCCATTCATACAGAACAATACTAAAAAATAGTGCTTTAATTAAGCGAGCAAAATTTTAAGGGGGGTCCTCCTTAACTACCAGATTCAGACTAATTGTGAAGGACATTATTTTGTTGCTCGAACATTTAGCGTGTTGCGACGTGCTAACATGGCAAGAGATATTAGTATGAACACCTAGTGTTAAAAAATACACATTGCGCGTGCGTAACTAGTGCCAGTCCCAAACCGCGCGCGAGAATTAGAAATCCCTAAAACTCGAAGGAAAAGTGATAAAGTTTCAATTTCTTTTGAGAATCAGAGGCAACCTATCCTCCTTTATAAACGTACGTATGGGATTACCGTTTACGCTTAAAACAGCAAATCTATTAAAGAAAACGTACAATTTTGCGTCTTTATGACGTCATAACTTTGGTATTAATGTGAATTTCAACAAATGCATACGTGGCTTTATGCATTGCAATGTTCTTTAATAATTGGCATTGTTTCTAATGTCAAATAATGTAAGTTGTTTGAGTTTTAGGGGTTTTTCTGTCCTGGTCACGTGACTTGCCAAATATGGTCGTGACTTAAAACATCTTGAAGGGACTTTCAATTGAACAAACATGGCCAAACAGCTTATATGTAGAAGTCGGAGATCCAAAGATATGATAGTTTGAAGTCTTCCTAAGAATAGAATGGTAGTTAAGAAGGTCCCCCCTTAATAGAAACTTGTTACTTGCTTGTGTGCTGTTATTTGTCTTCCCTTACGCGTGTTTCGGCAAGATTATTTTCGTAATAGCAATTTAGCACAGGCGAAAGGGAAAATTGTTAACCGGATTTTCAGTGACCAGCTGGTATTGACTGAGCCGTGATGTAGGCCTGTCAGGTCAACATAATATAATCCAATTAGAAAATATGGAGGCATCAGGCCAAAATGCATCAGTGTCCAGCAGCTTTGACTGGAGCAAATTCGTATTTTGCCAAGAAAATACAAGCGAGAAGAGTGAATGCCCAGCAAACTCGAAACAGAGCAACTGTGGCGCTGGATACATCACACTTCAAAAGGATTTGCAGGGATTTTATGAGGCTGGAGAACTTCACCTTGACTTAGCGGAGCTGGATGAAGGGGAGGGGATTGCTGAGACACTTTTGAAGCATAATGCTTCCTGGCATAAGTCATGCCGCGTTAAGTACAACACAACCAAATTGAAGAGGCTGGAGAGGAAAAGAAAGCCAACTGAAGGAAATGTATAGCAGCAACCCGATGGTAGTGGCAAGCGCACAATATCTAACCTCGCTAGTACGCCTGTAGGACAGGAAGTCTGTTTCTTTTGCGGGGGACCAGTCACTGAGGGAACTCCATTATCTCGCGCAAGCACCATAGAGCTAGATTCTCGAGTTCAA